AGAGGAAGTTACATATATTTCCTCTTCATTCCCTCTGCCCTCAAATGTATATAGCCTCCGCCATTATACCTTCATCTCCAGTGTGCTGCATTTGTTTTAATTAAAAAACCTGCTTTGACAGATTTAAATCACACATAGTCTGTAGTTTATTTTGGCACACACTTTAAGTGTACATTCTGCGGGTGTGAACAAATGCGCAACGGCACGCTGCTGCCATTATAATATCACACAGAGTGTATTAACTGCCCTGAAGATTCTTTGGATCCCACACACTTTTATTCAATTCATATTCTCGCAATTGTTTATGCTAATTAGTGCTTCTGCACAGTCAAAAACTGGACATTAGTGAATTTGCAATGGTTGTTCTAGAAACACAAAGGAAACAAAGCTGAAAATCCAGTAAAGACTTTAGACAATGTAGCGATCGTTCTTCATTACTGTGAAGCATTCTTTCACTGACATGAGGTGTGGATCACCGGATGGCCTAAATTCAACGCTGTACAATACAGAGAATATTGTATACCAGATGAACATTGAATGCAGCCTTATGTTAATACCCAAGTGCTTGCTCCAAAACACAATCAGCCTAAGCCTAATGTTCATATCTCAGCACACTTCCCTGACAATGCCTGTTGCTGAACAGGTACCAGACTCATGTCCTCATTCCATATTACTGACCTAAACAAGAGTATTCTAGCATTCTCTGGTAACAGAAAAGCATAAAAGAGCAATTGCCGGTTAACACAGCAAAGCATCAACTGATTGACTCCAATGTCTTGGAGGCAAGATATTTTTGTCACTTAATGACTCCCATAGAGGAAGCCAGGAAGGAGAAGGCTGCAGTTCACTTGCGGATACATGTAAGACAAGTGAGCTATTTCCTGATATATGATCATGCACTTCAATTAGATCTGTATTTGCAGAAAGGCAATGGAAAGTCAAGTACTATACTTCCCACCAATTACCATAATGCAGAGTTCTAGATAATCAGAAGGTATAGGATAAATACTTGAAAAAGACAGACAAAATTATAGGAGACTTCAGAAGGCACTGTCATAGGATGTCTATGTTTTATAAGCTTCACCCTATTTTGGTGATTACTGCTGGGACTATGTTTCCAATTATATTCTTTCATAGAATCATGTCATTTTCTATTTCCACTTTCAGGCCTTTGATAAAACAGTCTCCCAGATGAGGATACTATTAATACACTCAAGGGTGGGGGGATCGCATCCAAAGGACTCTGAAATACCAGGGCCAAATTGAATTGGTTCTTTTTGAAGCAGGCGTACCTCATCTATTTCATTTCTCACTGGTTATTCCAGTAGCTGCCTCTTAAAAAAATCATTTAAATCAAACCACACTTCCACTCGCCGACAGACGAAAACACTTGCAACTAATCCATCTCCTACTTTATTGCCCATAGAAATGAAGAACAGGTTGCAAAGCACAGTGTACAACAGGAGGCTAGGAGACAGCAGCCATCCATTTCCTCCTGGTGTACAAGTTTGATCGTGTTTGCCTAATTATCCCATTAACCTGTACCTAAAGATCCAATTACTCCAGCTGTGGGTGATTGAATAAAGGGCAATTGTAACAGATACCAGGCAGGGGACATGTGTATTCCTCATCTGTAAAGTTTGTAATTGCTGGTTCAGTCCTTCACCAAGAAATTCCCATGGCAGCAAAGGCAACAGAAGTATTTCTAAAGAGTAATTTCTAAACTGGTAAAATCTCATTTAAATTTCAAATGTTTATTATGAATTTTAAAACCCCTTCCTTTAAGCTCACTCTTGTGTCGTTCCCATTGCTTTTCTGGTTAGAATTTTAAAACTCAAGCCTACCGAGTTGGTTTTTTTCCTTCCAAGCATTATTTCTCTAAGTCAGGAAGCTACCGTTAGACGCAGGTCTCAAACTTAAATTCGGGATGCATGAATCAACCACATCTCTCCTTGAGTGTGATGAAGTATGTGTAAGTTAGTCACTGTAGTAAAATTTTCTTATAAAACATAGCTAGGATAAACATTTACTTATGGTCTCTGATGTTAAGGGCACTCACATGTTACCCACAAAGCCTTTCATTTCTTTTCTAGTCAGGCATCCAATAGAAGCACATAGGGTTTTTGTCTTCTTGTCATGAACACCCAATCCTACCATCACTGCTGTCATCTGAGCAGATGAGCACAGCCTACCTTACAAGGCAGAGGGACCTAATCACCAAAATGCAATAGATTCCCTTTATGCATTCCAGCGTCTCCTCCATCTCATAAAATACTTCAAAAACTGTTTTACAACTACTATCCCAGAAACATAAAGCAATGATTAAAACTTGCCACATATGTATTGCTAAATCTTATATCAATACATTTTATTTTTATAATCACCAGTATTATTATATCATTACTATTTAGATAAGGTATGCTGTACAAATGGAACCTAAAGCTAGACTTAGTAGTTTTAATATCATAGAAAGGAAGAAAATGCTCCTAGCCCATACCTATGTCCTTTGCAACATTCCTACGGTCTTCACTGATTATCCACATCTTAAAAGCTATAAAAGGTAATTTGGTAAAGATTTTCCAGGAACTTACTGACACTAGAATGAAAAGAGTAACAATGCGACTTGTCTAATTTTATCATCACTACATGTTGCAAGTTCACAGCTCCAGAGAGTCCTGGTATCTGCACATGTCATCTAAAGGCACACAAATTTATTTGATGACCGTGGAGAAAACAGATCAAGGCACAATATAAACAGTTTTGAATGAGCAGCAATGGCTATTCGCACAGCATTCTACAGCTTCAGAGCTGCTTGCCACATTATAATTCATGGTCCTGTGACCCTACCAGATGATAGTATGACAATACATAATAACATTAACAATGATAATATTGATACCAATATTTACTGAAGACAATCTTCTTTTACAGCATGTGTTTTTATAACAACTATTGCTCTGAGGAAGTTTGCGAACGGAATAACACGAGAGTAGTTGTGCTAGCTTGCATAATGGTTGTGCTAGCAGAAAAAGGATTAGAACCAGGAGGAAAGGCAAAGAGGTAAATAAGTAAAATTAAAAAGTCAAAAGCCAGGCTGGGGATTTAGCTCAGCGGTTCGGTGACCTGCCTCGCAAGCGCAAGGACCCGAGTTCAATCCCCGGTACCAAAAAAACAAAACAAAACAAAAAAAAAAGTCAAAAGCCTCACTTTACCCCATTTCAAATTTTAGTATAAAGATATGATAACCAAGGCATTGTAATATTATCAAGAGATAAATAAACCTAAGGAACATAATGTGGACATCAGAAATAGAAAAATACAAACACAGTCAACTGATTTTCAGCATAGTAGAAAGGTGATTCAATGAAGAAAGTATGGTCTGTTCTACAAACAGTGATGGAACAAGTGGAGATGCATGGGAAAATTTGACCAGAAAGCATACCTTACAACGCATGCGAAAATCACTCAAAGATTATAGATCTAAATATAAAATGTACATGTTTTAAATTGTAGGGAAAAAAGTATAAAAAAAAATCTGCCTGACATTTGTCTTGGAGCTGAATCTTTAGAAATATCTATATAACCAATATGTGAAACTGAAAAAACTGAGATGAGTTGAATGTTATTAAAATTTAAAACTTCTGTTGTCTGAAAGACACTTTTAAGAGAATGAAGAGGCAAGTCACAGAATCAGAGAAATTTTTTCCAATCACATATCTGATAATTGACTAGTGGCTAAATACACATAAATGATTGGAAAGACTCAACAATAAGAAAACAAAAACAGTAAGAAATGGGCGAGACTGAAGGGACACCATGAAAACTTAGCAATCATGTGGGGTAAATAAAGATTTAAAAGATACTAAACCTTGTTCATCGTCATGAAACTGAAAAGTAAGATCACAATGATATCCCAATATACACATATTAGAATAAAACACTAGCACACCCTGGTGAGGGCAAAAAACAACAAGAAGCACTATTCACCGATGGTTAGATTTGAAATGGTACCGGGACTTTGGACAGCTATTTAACAGTTTGTTATATAACATCCCATACAAAAGTCTTACCATTCATCATATGTATAAGTGCTTAAGTTTTTACTTAAGTGAAATAAAAGCTTTGGTTCACACAAATGCCTGTATATGAATGGTCATACCAGTTTTATTTAATATTGCCCCAATGTGGGTGACCAAACTGACAATCCTCAGGTGAATGAATAAACGAACTGTGTTACATCCAAGCAATAGAATACCAATCAGCATTTAAAAGATTTAGCTATTGAAGGAAGAAAAGGTCTGAAGGTATTGGGCAAATGGAAGGGGTTAGGGAAAAGTAAAAAGGGAACAGAAAAAAGAAAAGAAAAGGAAGAAAATGGAAACAAAGTCTTTGTAAATAGGGAAGGGGGAATGGGGGAAGGGAGACTAGGGAAAGGGGGAAAAAAGAAGAACTAAGATCTGTCATGTAAACGTACAAGATCCCAATGATGAATGTGACTGTATTGTGTACCTAAAATGTACCAATAAAGATTCAGTTTATAATAAAAAAGGATTTAGCTATTGATTCAGGTAACTATAGATAAATCTTAATTTAGATACATTTTGTTAAGGCAGAAAAACAAAAGACACATATTACATCTGGAGAAAGCAAAACTGTCAGGATAGAAAAAGATCCACGGTTGGCAGGGCTTGGAGAGAAGGGAGAGGTAACATGGGTGCAGAGTGGAATGTTTATGTTGGTGAAATTCTCCTGTACAGTCTTTGGGTGGTGATCTGTTTGCATTTGCCAAAACTCATTTCATTATATATCACAAAACATGAGCACCAACCCACGCACAGTAAAAGGTCAAACAGGATGATACGAGGCATCCCAAGGTGGAACACGGAGTGTGACGAATAAAATTGTCCTACAAATATATGAAATAACTTGATCACAGGAGTGGTTACAACATAAAACGAATCTAAACGACTTTGTAAACCAGTGTTCTGAGCTGGGCTTACCTCTACAATCCTCAGCAGAAAGACCACAAGTTTGAGTGCAATCCGGACAACTTAGTAACTTGGCAAGAACCTGTTTCAAAGTAAAAAATAAAAATGGGTGAAGGGAGGGCAGGGACAAGAGGAAAAAATGAGAACCAAGACCTGTCATATAAAGGTACAAGGTCCCAGTAATGAATGTAATTGTACTGTATACCTAGAATGTACCAATAAACTCAATAAAAAGAAAAATATATAAAAATGGGGCATGGGGTTATAGTTCATTGCAAAGACTCAAGATTCAATCCCTGCTACTGCAAAATAATAATAATAATAATAATAATAATAATAATAATAATAATAATAATAATTTCAATAGTTGTTTTTTGGAAACTGTAAAGTTAAAAACAGAAAATCCTACACATAAATACCACATATTAATAAATTAAAATACACCTGAATCCATTTTGACACAAATAAGTGGAGGGGTAAATAACTAGTGAGTGTGAAGGGTCAAATCTTCCTTAGACAAAAATTTCAAACAATATACAGAACAAAGTTCCATTCCCTTCTTCACCTACGTATGGGCAGTACTTTGTGGCTACCACAAAGGAGAGCGAACTGTCGCTCGTGGTGTGGAGCACAGGTGTCCTCTGACAAAATGTGATAGAAGGGGGACACCTCGCCCTGCGATGCTGCTCATCACAATCCAAAGCCCCCATCTTATCACGTGAAAAAGGTCAAACGTCAACTGAAAAACACTCTACAAAATACCTCACCATTCTCAAAAATGTCAAGGTTATGACCAGAGAGATGGGAACTAAGAAGTCATAAAGATAAAATGCAGAACGGAATCCTGGCGTGCCACCCCCACGAAGCAGGACAGGGCAGCAGGCAAAAACAAAGCACAGCGTTCAGACCACTGTCCTGCTCCGATGTTGGTATCGAATGTTTCAGGGCAATATAAGATTTCAGCAGTAGAGGAAACTGGCTGATGAATTCTCTTTTCACAGTTGTTATTACTTTATGTTTAGTTAAGACCTAACGATTTACATATTTATGGCACACGTGATGACGCTGTGCTCCACGAAATCACTAAGTACTATAGTACTGTCATCTCCCTAGCATCTCTTTAATGTTGGGAATCTTCAAGCTCCTTGCTTTTTGTTATGAAAAATATATAACAGACCACCTAACTGCGCTGGAAAAACACCTGAATTTATTCCTCCTGTTTTTGTAGCCTCCCTCTCACCTCCCCCACCATTCCCTTACTCTAGTAATTGCTGCTCTGCTCCCTTCTCCCTTGACATCAATTTTTTAAGAATTCTCTTATTACCGCTCTAGTTTTATTATAAATATTAAATTTCCCCAAAATACAAAGTTTATTTTCAAATATTTTAAAAGCTTTAGTTTTTCAAAATAAGAAGTTTAAAACTTCACCTCTCTATAACGATTTTAACATTTTGCTGTTAAATAGTAAAATTTGTGTTTTGTCTTTCAAGTATATGTTTTTTCAAATAGTTTAAAAACTTAAAGCTTTTATATTTATGTTAAATTTTGTCTCTGATGGAAACACAGCTCTTGTTAACGTCTTACTCTGCTTGGAAGACACTTTATAAAAATCTTGACTATATCAACCCTCTACGGTGAACCTGGATTTAAATATTACACAATGTACACATGCATCAAAAAGTCACATGCTCCAAACATGTACAATTTTATATTTTAATTAAAAATAAAATAAAACTTACATGTTAAAACTCTTGTTTAGAAAATAAGAGAAGTGATTTTGGGGGGAAAAAATCATGTCAGAATCTTGCAACTTCTTGTTTCTCTGCACGAAATCTTTCTCTAACACTTTGCCCCCAGTGCTCTGAGACAATCAGTAACCAAGGAAGGTCAAAGTCAGTTTAAAAAATCTTCCAGCTCCCTTGTCTCACTGTGCAACAATTCTTAAATGCAGATGGCACTAATGAAAATGCATCCAGGTTAATCAACTGTTACTAGAAAGGAAAAATAGTTTCAGAAATGCTTCTGAGAGAAGTAAACTAATCAACCTCCAAATATACTTTTGGCATAGAAAATTAATTTTCTGTTAATGAACTACATATTAAAGAGAAACAACTCATGCACATGCAGAAAGACAAAGGGGTGGGATTTGTTGTTGCTGTTGTTTAGTTGAAGAGATTCCTCCCATAAGACTGAGGCTCAGTGTCCACGATGTTAAGCTACCACGGACAACTTGGTTTTTGACCCTTTCCTGTCTCAAGTTTGTTGCCATCTCTCTTGTACTTCCTGTGAGAACCTCCTAAGTAGGTTTTCTGCATTCAGGTCCTTTCCTCAATGGCTGCTTTGTTGAGAAAACATCACTGTGCTATCAATAGAAGGCTCAGAGATATGCAACAATAGTTAAATTTAACCAACTTTGCTTTAGTATGTTTTAATCTTACTAATGTCATATAGGGACACTTTTATTTGTAACTGTAGTGGTGCATTTTTCAGGGTTGGCAGATAGCACATTTTATTTAGCAAATCTGATAGCTAAAAATACTTAAAATACTTAGACATTTGATAGGAGAGCCTCCTACCCCAGGCTCCAAAATGTCACAGACAGACCTGTCAGCAGCAAACCCTGTGTGTCACAGCCAGGTTTGCCTGAGGTGTGCCTCTTTATCAGATGACAATGGAGGGCTGTCATGGGGTCTCTTTGAGTTATACCACGGACTTTTATAAAACATATTTAACTATAGCTTTTACTGTAGACATAAAACCAGAAGTCTTAGTCTGACAACCACAAGAGCCCTGAAGTGTTTTACTGCTCCCAGGGCTGGTGTCAACAGGTCATTGGTCTCTGTCTCCTAGCAAAGTCCCTTCCGAAGAGCCATATGTCACTCTAGCAGGGGTTCCCATGTCTCCCACCAAGCAGGTGCTATCTTCTGAGGAGGTAGTGAAGGTTGGGCATAGTGACTAGAGGCTTAATAAAAACACATTCTCTTTAAACCACCGGCTCTGTAGAAGGAAAACGGACATTCTACTACGAGAGCATTTTCCATTTATCACTTTCTGTTCACAATCATAATGTTCGGTATTCTTTTTATTGGCTATGCTGATGAATGGGCTTCATTTGGGCAGATTCGTACACGTACATAATAAACTTGGATCACCTCCCCATTGCTCCTAGTTATCCTGCCCACCTAGTTTTACATGCGAGTGTTGAGTCAATGTGTAAAATATGTTTAATTAATATCAGTATAAACTTAAGAATAGTTTTATTAGTATTATTATTTTATTCAATCAGTTATGACTCATTATTCATATTACTAATTTTGATGCTCCAATTGTCCAAGACTTATCAAGTAGAATCCCATCAAGCCAGCTTTGATATAATTCTGACTTACTCCCATTAATTTTTAAAGAAATTCTGTGATTTGTTGCTGTACCAGTTAGGCCAAGCTGATCTTGCATTTTTCCAACCCTAACCTTGGGATCAACTATTCTTCAGAATTCCAGGTACTTTTTAGTGGAAAAGAGTACTCGGAAATAGTAAACTAAAATGGAATTAATGTAATTAGAAAAAAAAGAAAAAATTTTGGCAATATATTTGTCAGTTTTGTGCTATCAGAAGCCATTAATTTAAAAAGAAAATGACATATATCTTTCAGTCCTGAAGGTTCTGGTCCAAAACTGGGAACTCCCTTACTTTGAGCCTCTGGTGAGGGCACCCAACGTCAATAGCAGAAAGTGCGTCTCAGAGGAAGACACTAACCTCACGAATCAGAAACACAGTGATCAGAGACTAAAGTCCCATAAACCCTCCAAGGGCAAGCCTTGGACCTAAGGACTTCCTACAAGCTCAGCGCTTCTAAAGGTTCCACCATTCCCAGTTGCTTCACCCTGAGGAACAAGCCTTTAGCACAGGCCTCTGAGGGACAGCTGGCATCAAATCTAAAGTAGGCAGCTCTTGTAGTAACAATTCAGGCAAAAATCATTGATGGATGCTAAAACCGATAAGGAAAAACTTTAGTGAGGAATAGTATATTTGAATGTAGTTTCAAAGTATCTCCTCACAAAATGCTCATTCATTTCAATAAAAAATAAAGAATTTTAAAGTGGAAAAACTTGGTAAATGCCCTTTTAACTAAGTGATGAAAGCCACTACCTCCATTAATGGTTCAAGATGACATCATATTCCTCCCGATGTGTGCTGCAGACAGAGTATGACTTACACGATGCTCTTGCAGAAAAACTACCTAATACAGGTCTAATAATGAAGATACATTGGGCAAGCCCAAACAGAGAGGCATTCTACAAAATTACAAGTCTGCACCTTAAAATATGTCAAGGTTCATGGAAGACAAAGAAAAACAAAGGAACAGTTTCAGAGTAAAATAGACAAGACGGAGCAACTAAATTCAATGAATTCAATTCACGACTGGATCTTGGACCAGAAATATTTTTTTTCCATAAGAAGTTTCAATGAGACAGTAGTTGAATTTTTACTTGTTATAAATTAGCAATACTTTCCGAAGGTAATTTTATCATTTTCATAATTATTCTGTGGTTGTATAATGGAGTATTTTTTTTTTCTTAGCTAGTACATACTGAAGCACTTTGTAGTAAAGTGAATTGACTCTGCACTGCATTCTCTAATGGCTCAGAAAAAGCCGGCAGCTGTGCCAGAAGGCATACTGCTTTAACCCCACAGGAAAATCATAAGCCAGAGGACACTAGGACCTGCATCGCTGGGCTCATGCTACCTGTCATGCCTTTTTCCATTAAAGCAAACTCCTCGCTTGAGATGGAGTTCCCAGGTTTTCAGGTTCCTAGTTCTAATGCATTCAAATGTATCTGAATGAAATGCTTGCATAAAAACAAAACCAGCTTCTTGAATCATTTGTTGCAGGGCGCTCTGGGAGTCAGCGATTTATAATAGTAGCCCAGAAAGTATTTTTATTCACATTTCATAGGCAACTCTTAACTCTAATAACTTTGAAAGAGTCTGACAACTTCCAGGGAGAGTTAGCAGATAGGCCTTTGCTCTAAGACTTTATTCGAGGAAGACGACAAGGCCTGGAAGGA